TCTCTCTGGCCTCCTGTGTGTCTGCCACCAACACCCCAACATCTATTTCTTCTCTCCCTCACCTATCCCAGTGCCCCCCTTTCCCTGCCATCTTGTCTGTCTTCCCTCAACCCCAGGGTCTCTTCTACCCCAGTGCCACCCCTATGTATGTACTTATGTCTCCCCCCGCATCCCTCTCTTGCTCATGCTGTGCTGCGTTGGATGATGCTCCCTCTCTGGAAACTTGAATGAAGCGGCTTTTGATTTGTTATTATTTGGTTTTAGTTGGAATTTTCTGTATCATTAGGCCGCTGATTGCGGCTCACCATCTGGCTGTGATAACAGATCTCAGATTATCATATCGTTACGTTTCCTCGCCGTCCGCTCAGCCTTACACGCATCTCTATTGTCTGCTCTGCGTACACGCGTGTGCTGGCTTGTCCCGTGTGCCTGGAGATATGTTATATGGAGGCGGCCAGACGCTTTATCTTTACCATACCCTGGCAGTGCAAACGGTACCGGGGAAGAGCCAACCAAATGTCCTTCAGGTAAGTTGAGGAAGGATGGTGAATGCTGATTGGCTGGAACGCTGCACATGACCCTCTCCAGGTATGCGGATCGGGACTTCCATCTCATGTGTACTTGTTCTCAGTGAAAGCCAGAGGATCAGCATAACAGAAGGGGGTCAACAATGGCAGCCCCTAAAGGACGGGCGGGGCTGTTGTGTGTAAACCTAAAACCAGAGCATTATCGAGTATCATTTATAAAGATGGAGGAGAGAGTACCGGTACTCCTAGGAGCCATTGTGGTCCAGTATTGTGTACCGGTACTCCTAGGAGCCATTGTGGTCCAGTATTGCATCGGTGTGAAGAACTATAACTCCCAGCATGTGCAGCAGCAGACGTAACATACAGAAATTAAACTTACACCATGACTTGGCCACTGGTTGTCCTTTCATGTGCAAGGGCAAGCTCCACACACAAATGGGATTAAAGTGTCTTAGATCTTTCAGAGACCCCCCATTGCGGTAGGGATTCCATTGCAGTAGTGTCTTTGCCCCTCCCATATTTCATATGTGGCTCTGCCCCCTTCCTTAAGGCTATAAGGAAGGTAACACTTGGGTTTGTAATGGTGGCAATCTCTGGGTCACCATCTACTTCCCGGACTGAGATGCCGTCTCAGAGAGGACACAATCATGTAAATTCTGGTGTCTGTGCAGTTCTTGGCTATGGTCACAAGTGTCTGACACAGATCAGCCCCTGCTGCAGCCTCTCACCTTGTGACTAGATACAAAGTTACAATGTACATTCTGATCACTGGGGGAGGGGAGACTGAGGAAATGCTTCCTCTTGCCTGCAGTAGACTGATGACATCATCTGAGCCTAGGCAAAGTCACTGACATGCGGCACACTGATGGCTTTTTCATAATAAAAGGTTTATTAAATAGGATTTTCTCTCATCTCAGACTGCTGGCTCCCAGATCTCTGCTCATTGCAGTACCAGCGACAGACAGAAGGGGGCGCCGCCGAGTCAGTGCTGGGATTCCAGCAAGCGCTGCGCTCAGTTGCGATCTTGATTATTGTCAGACATAATTAGGACATTGTCCTCCTTCCAGGTCACGTCCCCCATTGTCCAGACTCTGCGCGCAGCCTTGCGGGTGACGGATTGTCTGAAGGCGCCGTCACTTTAACGAATCTTGTCCCAGTTTTTATTTAAGGAGAACTCCGCTAAGCTGGTTCTTTCTGTACTGTACACATAACAAAACCTCCCATTATCATTCAAGGAGAACCGTCCCTCCTTCCAGAGAAGTCACGCTTTGGTGGTTCCTCCTCCGCGTCTCTTATCGCCATCAGTCAGGTGGAAAAAGGCTTCAAAGAAAAGCTCGGGGAAAGGTGGAAAACTTCCCATAATGCAATGCGAGATCTCACTGATTCACACCGCGCTGTCAGAACCAATCTATTGTACTTATTTATATAACTGACATGTGCCGGAGCGCTGTACAAAGAACACTGAGCCCGTCACATCAGTCTCTGTACAGAGGAGCTTACACTCTAATGTCCCCTCCCCCAGTCACATCAGTCTCTGTACAGAGGTGCTTACCCTCTAATGTCCCCTCCCCCAGTCACATCAGTCTCTGTACAGAGGTGCTTACCCTCTAATGTCCCCTCCCCCAGTCACATCAGTCTCTGTACAGAGGTGCTTACCCTCTAATGTCCCCTCCCCCAGTCACATCAGTCTCTGTACAGAGGTGCTTACCCTCTAATGTCCCCTCCCCCAGTCACATCAGTCTCTGTACAGAGGTGCTTACCCTCTAATGTCCCCTCCCCCAGTCACATCAGTCTCTGTACAGAGGTGCTTACCCTCTAATGTCCCCTCCCCCAGTCACATCAGTCTCTGTACAGAGGTGCTTACCCTCTAATGTCCCCTCCCCCAGTCACATCAGTCTCTGTACAGAGGTGCTTACCCTCTAATGTCCCCTCCCCCAGTCACATCAGTCTCTGTACAGAGGTGCTTACCCTCTAATGTCCCCTCCCCCAGTCACATCAGTCTCTGTACAGAGGTGCTTACCCTCTAATGTCCCCTCCCCCAGTCACATCAGTCTCTGTACAGAGGTGCTTACCCTCTAATGTCCCCTCCCCCAGTCACATCAGTCTCTGTACAGAGGTGCTTACCCTCTAATGTCCCCTCCCCCAGTCACATCAGTCTCTGTACAGAGGTGCTTACCCTCTAATGTCCCCTCCCCCAGTCACATCAGTCTCTGTACAGAGGAGCTTACACTCTAATGCCCCCCCCCCCACAGTCACACACTATTATTATACATTGATATAATTGATATATTTATTTGCATTTCAGATAAGAAGTTTTTGGTTTTCTTCTTCAAACAAGTGCAGAGAAATAAGAGCGGTCGCTATGAGGAAGATTTCCCGTATATATCGCCGTGCGGCAGGGAACACAACTTCATCCGCTGCGACGACCGCCCCATTGTCTTCACACACCTCCTGCGGGATGAGAGCTCGGGGCTCCAGCGCTTGTCTTACTGCGGGGGAGGAGACCAGTTGGCGGTTCGCTTCGAGCCGGAGAGGCTGGTCATGTTACCAGAAAATGGGCGGGTCTATCACCCAGCGCCAGAGAAGAGCGGAGGGGCGGGCCTTGTGAAATCGTCGCTGGCGTTCGAGCTCAGCTCTTGTTTCGAGTTCACCGGTGGATCTAATTCTGGAAGCCCCACCCATTTTATCTGGGATGGCAAACGGTACACACTGACCAATGAGCTGATACCGCTAATATGAGGAGACTGATAGCGGTCGCCTTAAAGGGGAACTCCTGGGGGAACGTGGGAAACTTCCTTGGAGAGGGGGAGTGAGTGACGCCATCTTACCTGCTGCCGAAACAGCCATATTTCAGGTGATGGGAAACCACGGAGGAGGGGCTTAGGCGGTGTATACTCAGGATGTTCCTGGAGGCAGATTGGAGACTTCAGAAATAATTGTAGCCTCAGAAAATGCTCGTCTCGGTCTTCTGGTGGAAGAACCAACAAGCATGGCGGCCTGAGATGGGAACAAGTACAGAATAAACATCTGGAGATCGACTGTTATAGCTGCTTTAGGAGTTCAATGTGAACCAATGTACTGACTGTGTGTCGTCTTCCTCATGAACCTTCCAATATGGGCGACCTTCTGACTGTACTGCCATTGGGTGGAGAGGTGGGTGTCATGTGACCATATGCACTGTCATCAGTATATAGTAAACAGAGATAACTTTCAAATAAATATTATAAAGATGGGAAGTGAATCCTTCATTGACAACCTTACCGATAGAATAGACTCTGCAAGGTCTAAGATGGCCGTGCACCAGCAGAATTTCATCTGAAAAATGCATTTTTTGGAACATTTGTTTTATTTTTTGTCACTAGTTATTTCATTAAACACTTGTTTTTTGTTGCATATCTGCTGCTAGCAAGCAAAAACATAGAAAAGTTACCAAAAAGGTTCAAACTTAGCCGTGTCAGCACCGCTCGCTCCTGGCCTAGGCTCGGTATACCGCGAGCTGCTCGCAGTATACTGAGACGCCGCAGCTGAAGTGGATCCCGACAATTGTGCTGGGATCCGCCCAGCTGCGTGACTGACAGCTGGCTCTGCCTATCTAGAGGCAGAGCCAGCTGTACCCGCCCCCTCCCCGTCCGTTCTGCCAGTCAGCGCTGGCAGATCGGAGGGGAGGGGGGAATCCAGCCCCTCCCCCTGTCACGGCAGAGAGCCGTGACAGGATCGAGAGGTGAGCGAGCGCCGGTATGTGTTCCCTCACCTCCCGATCTACTGAGCCGACCTATGACAGTCTCATTATCACAGGTCGGCTAGAACTATGAGGTGAGTGAAAAGCACCCCCCTCATAGTCCTCCTTTAAGGTTAGTCCTTAAAGCAGCGGGCGGGGGGGGATTTGTGACTTTAATGTCACTTTAATGGGTCAAATTGATGATAGTGACCGTAGTGATGAATAAAATTGAAGGATCAGGGTGGAAAATTGATCTAAAATGAACAAAACTCTCAATGAATGTGGATTTCAATCCGGAAGTTCCATTTATTTCCAAAATTGAATGTTAAAACCAAACAAAAATTTCGGATAACATTGTTCAAGTGTCCGAAGGCATTATCAAATGTTCTGACCAGATTTGTCATAAGAACACTCATATGAAAGTCTATCAGTGTGTGGCCAGATTATATAGAAAGTGTCTATCAATATGGAATAAAATCTCCGCAGACAACTTATGTCTCTCTCCCAATGGCGACCCATAATCGGGTATTAATAGTATTGCATATGTAGTATGGCAGTTGTCTCCATTCATATCTTCAACGTGGTTTTATCACCACTTAAAGGATTCATCTATGACAGATGTAGATACTGTATGTCCAGTAGGATTCCTCTAAACCATAAATCGTGGTTTGCAGGGGGTCACTGGAGAGCACAGGAGTCACTGGAGAGCGCAGGAGTCACTGGAGAGCGCAGGGGTGACTGGAGAGCGCAGGGGTGACTGGAGAGCGCAGGGGTCACTGGAGAGCGCAGGGGTCACTGGAGAGCGCAGGGGTCACTGGAGAGCGCAGGGGTCACTGGAGAGCGCAGGGGTCACTGGAGAGCGCAGGGGTCACTGGAGAGCGCAGGGGTCACTGGAGAGCGCAGGGGTCACTGGAGAGCGCAGGAGTCACTGGAGAGCGCAGGAGTCACTGGAGAGCGCAGGAGTCACTGGAGAGCGCAGGGGTTACTGGAGAGCGCAGGGGTCACTGGAGAGCGCAGGAGTCACAGGAGAGCGCAGGAGTCACAGGAGAGCACAGGAGTCACAGGAGAGCACAGGAGTCACAGGAGAGCACAGGAGTCACAGGAGAGCACAGGGGCGCACACTTTTGTAAATAGTGAGTATCAAACTTGCAGAACCTCCAAAACTTCCAAACGTGAAGTTGACTCCGGCAACAATAGCCCTACACTATTGGATGGAAATTCCTTTGTAAATAGCAGGTAGCACTGGCATGTTAAATTGTTACACATGGGAACTACCTGAATTGTTGCTCAGGTCGGAAATCTCAACACAACTGTTGCACGGCTCTCATGAATTTGGTGCAGGACTTTGTGCTGGAGCTGTGGAACTGGAAGGGGCCACTGGAAGCTGGGTCTGACAGGGTAAGGGATGGCTGGGAGACCAAGGCACAGTGCCATGGTACTGAGCAGGTAGCATGGGATTCCCCGGAGCACAGAGTCTAAGGTGCAGCCGGTGTTCACTAGAACTCTTGGTGGTGGAGATGGGTTCTGCTGTGTGCTGACCCCAAGTCTAAACCTGGGGGGCCACCCCCAGGTTCACCCTACTCAACTGACAGCAGACCAGGATAACAAAGGTCAGGGCAGGTGGCAGACGAGGGTCACCAGAAGAAAAGGTCAGGGCAGGCAGTGGAGAAAGATCACCAGGTGACAAGGCCAAAGGTAGGAGCAGGCAGCGGACAAAGATCACCAGGTGACGATGTCAGGACAGGCAGTGGACGAGGATCACCAGGTGACGAGGTCAGGACAGGCAGTGGACGAGGATCACCAGGTGACAAGGCCCGAGGTAGGAGCAGGCAGCGGACGAGGATCACCAGGTGACAAGGCCAAAGGTAGGAGCAGGCAGCGGACAAGGATCACCAGGTGACGAGGTCAGGACAGGCAGTGGACGAGGATCACCAGGTGACAAGGCCAGAGGTAGGAGCAGGCAGTGGACAAGGATCCCCGGAAGACAAGCCAAAGGTTGATACATGAAAACTGCAGCGAGTGGACAGTAGAGTGATTGCACAACACATAGCTAGGATTAGAATTGCTCAGGCAAGGAACAGGTAGGTTGAAATAGAGGGTGCCAAGCTGTGAGTAACAAGGCAGAAGACATGAATGGCTGTAGCTGGCAGGAAAGAAGGCGATAGGTCGCAGGACTGCCCAGAGATGAGTATCAATCTGATTGGCCATAGCTATGAAAAAAACCCATGGAAAAACAAACAAAGAAAAAAGTTTGGGCGACTGCGCACCATAGAAGCCGAGACGGTGCCGGAGTGGGTAAGTAACACTGAGGCCAGAAAGACTGAATGCATAAAGGGGAGGTATAATAGGATTTTACAAAATAAAGTGGCGAGGGAGGGATGGAATTGGGCTTTAAGGTATGTGTGAACTGTGAAGTCATTTTAAAAAAAGAGGGCTGGAGGGTTACACAAAGCGAAGAATTGGCCTTGAAGTGTAACTATAATGGTCAATTTCTTTATTTTTTTTGTTTAATTCTACAACATACAACTTTTTACACTGTTTTATATGTACGCTTTTTGCTATACAAATAAACATTTAACTCAAAGGACTGAGTGTGGGGCAAAGGATTACCAAAGTACTGGGGGTATCTGAAAAGACAGCATAACAATAGTTATCTCCTTTCAGGCTCTGCTGTTTCTCGCTGAAACCTCAGACGGAGCCATCCGATGAGACTGGAAACACTCCCAGACTCCTTCACTCGTGTGTAAAAATTTACCTTGAACTACTGAGCTCGGCAGACAAAAAGAGAAACGGCAAGGAGAGGGAAGATGTGAAACAGAGATTAGAGCGCCACCTACTGGCTGTTGTAGGACTGACAATAATAAAGGAAATTAGGGATGCACCAATACCGGTATTTCGGTATCAGGTACCGATATTTTTTTTCCGGTACTCGCCGATACCGAATACCGATACCGGAAGTCCCATTCAGGAAGCCAGGCGGAGTGTAATGACTCGCCACCTGGCTTCCCAGATTAGCAGGGAAGCTGTCACTGGCCAATCAGGAAACAGGACGCTGTGTAATGACGCGGTGCCTGGCTTCCTGATTAGCCGGGAAGCCGGCTCCATTCCCCCTCCTCATGAGGTGACGAGGGAGCATGAAGCCGACATCCCGGCCAATCATAAAGCCGGGCATTGTGTCATTACACGGCGCCCGGCTGCCTGATTGGCCAGCTTCCCGACTAATCAGGAAGCCGGACACCGTGCAATGACGCCACGCCCGGCCTCCTGATTGGTCGGGAAGCCGGCTCCATGCTCCCTCGTCACCTCATGAGGAGCCAATCAGAAAGCTGGGCACCGCGTCATTAGACGCTCCCCGGCTTCCTGATTGGCCGGGAAGCCGGCTCCATGCTCTCTTGTCACAAGTGACGAGGGAGCATTACTGGTTCACTGATACCGGAAGTATCGTGCTAGGTATCGGAGCATTTGGACGAATACTCGGCACCGATACTGGTATCGGTGCTTCCCTAAAGGAAATGTTCACATTCTGTGGAAAAGCAATCCATTCTTCCCCTAAACTCTTGCTGCATTTGTTTTGCTCCTCAGCCGGAGTACTCGCCCCCTTAGAATCATTGTGAGGAGTATTTTATTTCGAGTCTCAATCGTTAGTGATGGAATGTGGAAGTCTGGGGCGATCTGTGTCGCTGAAACCGTCCATCAATAAGCCTTTCACTTACAGGCCTAACCTACAAAAACAGCTTCTACCTGCAAGCCGCGTCTCCTCGCGGAGGCCCTTATTAGTACCGCGTGTCTGTGAATCCGCTCCATGCATCCCCCGGGATCCGGCTGGTCAGGATTAAACATGATTAAAAGAGAAATCGATGGATGACAACGGGGAATATCTGCAGAAGAGATTAGACACTTGTATCTGTGCGGCTAACAATTCCCGGAGTCCGGTCATGATGGAGAAGCAGCGGCGGGAGACTGCGATGGATGCTCTGCTCCTCTGCCCGGGAGACACAAGGATTGGATCACGTAGACACTTTGCACAGTGTG